AGTCACACATCACACAGTGATCATCATCATGAGGTCATTGCATCTCTCGGTCGGTGGGTTTATCACAGCTGTATGATCACAAAATAAAGAGATTCCAATGTGATTTCCTCTGGTTGTGTGTCTGTCTGTGTGCGTCTCGTCAGACAAACAAATAGACAGAAAAACACACAATGAGTCATTCACCTTGAAATCACTTGTGATGTCATGACGACCATTCCTCAGACACGTCTCACGTTAGCTAGTCTCCTTTCCTCTGGTTGACCGTGGGCTGGCTGTTAGCTCGCCGTTAGCTCAAAGTGTTTTGTGGCGGTGTCCCAGGCGGCGCTGAGGGAGGGCTACCTCGAGGACACGCTGCGTCTCATCCGGAGGCAGGACGTCCCGGGCCTGGCCTCCCTGGAGGAGGCGCAGGCGGCCCAGCGGCGTCTGGAGGCGCTGGCCACCGACGCCCTCGCCAGAGAGCCGCGCTTCGCCGCCCTGAGGAACATGGCCGACAGCGTGGAGAGAGGAGGCTACCACAGCAAGGAGCGCATCACAAGGAGGTGAGACAGTTTAATGTAGCACAAATATATATATATATATATACATATATATATATATATATATATATATATATATATATGTGTGCCACATTTGTGTGACACATTTGTATATCTATATGTCTGTAAGAGAGGAGAACATCAGCCATCGATGGAAGGACCTCCTGCAGCAGCTCCAAGAGCAGAGGGGGCTGCTGGGAAATGTAGTTGAAAACCTCAGCGTGCTCCGAGACATCGAGCTCGTCTCCCAGGAAGTGAAAGAGCTACAAGTGAGTTCACACTTGTTAAAGATTTAGACATAGTTTTGGTGATTATTATGGGATGCTGCTTGGTAAGAGACCCCCCCCCACCCCCCCTCCTCCCCTCAGTCCCAGGCCAGTTCCTCTGAGGTGGGCAAGCAGCTGGCGGAGGTCGAGTCTCTCCTTCAGAAACAAGATCTCCTGGAAGCTCAGATCTCAGCTCACGGAGAAACCATCAGCACCATCAGCAGCAAGTCAATGAAGGTTATTGATCGTGTTGATGTACCTGATATCTCAGCTGGCACGTAGGAGTTGGAGCTGACATTGTGTGTCCTTCTCTCAGGTGAAGGTGATCGGAGGTCTTCAGATTCAGTGCAGAGTGGCAGATCTGGACTCTCAGTACAGATCTCTGGTTTCTCTCAGCAGCAGCAGGTTCACTTCTGATCATTCTTCTCTAGACAATAATCAATAACTGTTTACTGAACAACAGATATGAATACTACTCATCTGCTCCTCTAATCTCCTCCTCTCGTTTCCTCCCCCCAGGAGGCTTCAGCTGGAGGCCCAGCGGAGGCTCTTTGACTTCTTCTCTGACTGTGAGGAGGCAGAGTTCTGGTGCTACGAGCGCCGGCTGAGGATTCAGACCGCCGGACTCGGACGAGACCTGAACCACATCCAGCTGAGCCAACACAAGCACAAGGTGGGACACGCACACACGCACACACACACAAGGTGGGACACGCACACAAGCACAAGGTGGGACACACACCACACACACACACACAAGGTGGGACACGCACACAAGCACAAGGTGGGACACACACCACACACACACACACACACACAAGGTGGGACACAGACACACACACACTCTCGTGGTTTATTTACCACAAATGAACGTTAGAAGGATTTTGGTCATTTCGTCGGGTCCTTTGTGCACCTGGTAAACGCCTCCCAATGCCTCCCGTCAGCTGCTGGAGGCGGAGCTTCAGGCCCAGGAGACTCTGCACCGGGGGCTTCTGGGCCGCGGGCGGGACCTGCTGGCGGACCAGAGCCAGCCCAACCGGCACCTCGTCCAGAGGTGGACCCACACCCTGGAGAAGCAGTGGAGCCTCCTGGGCCACGAGGCGACGGGACGCCGCGACCGACTGCAGGCCGCCGCCGCCATCAAACAGGTGTGTGTGTGTGTGTGTGTGTGTGTGCTGTAGTGTCTCTGCTGTGTTTGGAAGTGGGCGTGTACTTGTAGAAGTTAAATTGGGTCCTTTTTGATGTGGACTTTCTTTGTCGATAGTTCCCCCGCTAGCTGAATGAGCTGAACATCGTATCGGGTCACGGCGAGGTCTTTCATCGGGAGCCTCACGCCGCTAACTCCTTTCCTCCACCAGTACTTTGCCGATGTGGCGGAGGCCGACTCCTGGCTGGGCGACAGGAAGCCGCTGCTGACCAGCGAGGATCACGGGAAGGACGAGGCGAGCACGGCGGCGTTGCTGCAGCGCCACCTGCGGGTGGAGCGGGAGATGGCGGCCTACGCCTCGGAGATGAAGAGGCTGGCGGAGCAGGCGAGGAGCGCCGCGCAGCTAACGCCTCTGACTGTGAGTACGGAGACTCGGGTGAAACCCGCCGCGGCTCTGAAAAAAAACGCCGCTGACTCACTTCCTGTGTAGGCGGAGCCTCAGCCAAGCGAGATGAACCAGCACAGCGACTCGTCCGGAGGCGAGGAGGCTCCGGGAGAGGCGACGCCGTCGGCCGGGGGAGGGAGGGGCTCCGGGACGACCGCCTTGCACAGTGAGGACGGCGAGGCCAAGCTCCGCTTCAGATACAGCAGAGGTACAGCTCTGCCGCAAGGCATGATGGGAAACGAACATCAGGCATCAGCTAGTTTCGGCAGTGTTTTATTATACTGATATTATTTGTTTAATGAGTAATCAGTAAGTACTCTTAAAGGAATGATATCTAGTTTCTTCAAATAACCAGTAGGATTTGAGTGGACTAGTTAGATATCATCTTGGAATAGATTTTCTTTTTATGTCTGGTAGGAAAATAATTTCACGTCGAGGATATTTAAGAAAGAAAATGGTTCATTAAAATAGACAAACAGGTTCTTTTCTGTGTGTTATTTCACTGAACTGAACCGACTGGTCGTGCAGGTCAGTTTCCGTGGGATCGCGACGAGGTCGTTCGCATCGTCGGCAGCGAGCCGGACGGAGACCGACTCCTGGCCAGAGACGCCCGAGGACACCAGCAGCTCGTCCCCAGGAGCTACCTGAGCCTGCTGCCAGCCCCCGTACGTATCGATCACCAATAATCACCTTTACGGTCTCCAGGCGGGATGTCCCAACATCGGGGAGGTTGCTGTAAGCGCCGGCCACCGAAAAACTGAACTAGTTAAAAAGATTTGTTACACGATGACATTCTAATCTACCCGAGCAGAAGAAACATTCTTACCGAGTAGATCTTCAACGCAAATTGTTTATTTTAGCCTAGCAGGACCGCGCCGCTCGAAGCTAACGTTAACTTTAAGCTAATGGCAACTATCAGCTAACATTTATTAGCAGCTAACGTTAACAATTAGTTAACGTAACTAGCAGCTAACGTTAACTTCAAGCTAACCTTAACTAGCAGCTAACATTTATTAGCAGCTAACGGTAACAATTAGTTAACGTAACTAGCAGCTAACGTTAACTTCAAGCTACTAGTAACTAGCAGCTAACATTTATTATCAGCTAACGTTAACAATTAGTTAACGTAACTAGCAGCTAATGTTAACTTCAAGCTAACGGAAACTAGCAGCTAACATTTATTAGCAGCTAACGTTAACTAGCAGCTAACGTTAACTATAAGCTAACGGTAACTAGCTTTCCTTCTGTACATAACAGTTTTCCACAATGCAGCATCTCCTGTTTCCGTGTCAACAAGAATCTCCTCGTTTTCCCCACGTCAGCCTCGTCTCGGCCCCTCGTGACATCCCGACTCCTCTTGAGACCTTCTGCCCGTATGGGTCCTTTTCATATCGGTGATGAATAACTTTCCCCCTCGCCACGCTCAGGCTCCGCCCACCTCGACGGGCGGGAGACCGAACCGGCCGAGGCGCAGCCGCTCAATGCGCCGCGTCACGGCCGAGATCCAGACGCCGTTGCTGCCGGACCCGCAGTACCGTAGGGAGGCGGTGGAGAGCACGCAGGCCGCGCTGGACCGGGACTATGGCGCTCTGCTCCACCTGCTCACGGTAAGAGGGGGCGGGGCCAGCGTGGGAAACGCTGGTTGTCCGTGGCAAATACTTGAAAAAATAGTATTTGAGTTTTGTGGTTTTGTTTCTGGCAGACGAAGACGAGGAGCCTGCAGGAGGCGCTGCGTCTGCACCGGTTCCAGAGCGGCGTGCAGGAGTTCGAGGCGTGGATGGAGGATAAGGAGAACGTCCTGGACGCCTTCAGCCCCGACGCCGACTCCCTGGCAGCCGCTCAGGCCAAGTACGAGGTGAGGAGCAACACGAAGCTTCTGGGGGAATGTCGAAGTTCTTGGGAAACGAGGATCCAAATAGTTTTATTTTTGTCAGACAACCACGTAAATTCAAAATGATGAACAATGAGACAATGAGAACCATTGATTATAAGAAAGCTTTTCAATATTGTAGTGAAACTGAATTACATCACATGTCATTTAGCTAACGCTTTTATCCAAAGCGACTTCGCCACAGCTTCTTAAAATTGAAAGGAAAACCTGATTGTTAGAATAGTGAAACCACACAAAAAGTCTCTGTTCGCCGTTTGGTGCAGAACTTCCTGACTGAGCTGGCGAGTGGGCGTGGCCAGCTGGATGACATCGTCCGAGTGGCGGAGGAGCTGGTGACGAGCCGGCACAGCAGCCGGAGGGAGATCCAGGACCGGCAGCGGAGGGTCTCCGACAGGTAGCGGCGTGGCGCTAGCGTTGGTTATTATTCCACGTGGTTCCGCCCCTATTAACGCTAACCTTGCGTGGGGCATCAGGTGGAACCGGATCCAGCGGCTGAAGGACCAGAAGGGCCACGAGCTGCTCAGCACAGCCGACGTTCACTCCTTCCTGCAGAGCTGCCGGGAGGCTGAAGCCCAGCTGAGGGGTCGGCTGGCGGACCTGGACGTGGTGGACCTGGACGTGGTGGACCACCACCGCGGACCCCTGCAGCTGGCTTCAGAGGAGAAGAACCAGAACCAGACCCTCAGAGACATCCAGGCCCTGGAGGCCAAGATCGCTTACCTGAGGGGCGAGGCCACCAAGTACGGGCTCAGTGGTTCCAGTTTAATGAAAGATATCATCATCAAATAAATGTTATTCTTCTAAATACTAAAAACTTCTCACCTCAGTAGAAAGAAAATAGGTAAACATTTAAACCGGCTTTTTTCAATTTTAACATTTTCTCAAAGGATTCAAAAGATAGTTGAAAGATTTAACATGGTAGACAGTAGAACATAGTATTATATTCATTTCCATGGCAGTTAAAGTACTTCAGAAGTGTATCTCCAGTATTTATTTCTAAATGACCTTTTCACTTAATATTTCACTTAATTTAAGGAAACAGCTGTTTCCTGTTAGTGAAGGACAGAAAACCATCAGCTGCTGTCTTCTGTCTTAGGAAGCAGGACTGCAGTCCAGCAGAGGCCGCCGCCATCGGGGAGGAGGTCCGGGGTCTGGAGGCTCTGCTCCAGCAGGTCTGGCTTTCAACTGGATCGTCAGTGAATAAATAAGTGTTAAAATAAGACAGGCAGCCGTGTTAAATGATGATGAATCGACACATTTGCTCTCATGTAACAGCAGGAAGTTGTTTTTCGTACACATAGAACATAAAGCATCAGAGTGTCTTTTCATGAATGTGAACCCGTCTTCTCTGGTTGGGGACCAGCTGAAGCTGCAGGCCGCGGACAGACGGCGCCTCCTGGAGGCGGCGCGCAGCCTGCAGGGCTTCCAGCTGCAGGCCAAGATGCTGCATCACTGGGCCGCCTCGACTCAGGAGCGCCTCCTGCAGGAGGAGGAGGCCTCCGACGTGACCTCGGCCCTCGCTCTGCTGGAGCAGCACCGGGAGCTCCGGTTGGAGATGGAGGAGCAGAGGAGCAGGTGGGAGACGAGGGCCTCCTCCCCCCCGGGGAGCGAGGTCGCCACGCTGACCACGTGTCCTCTCCTCAGGTGGAAGGAGACGGAGGAGTTGGGGAGGTCCCTCGGGAGGGGCTCATCGGACGGGACCACAGGGGGTGTCGACGTCCGGAGCACCCTGGAGAAGCTGGAAGCCGATTGGTCCAAACTGGACGCGCTGTGGGCCAGCAGGGGGGCGCGCCTGGAGGAAGGGGCGGAGCTCCAGAGGCTGAACCAGGAGGGAGACCGCATCGAGGCGGCGCTGTCGGGGCACGAGACCCGTCTGAGGGTTGAAGACGTCGGGGTGAGAGGCGGTTCACAGCCGTATACGTTTGTAGATATATTCACCGTGCTTGTGATGACCATGCGTGCGTCGGTTCAGGACTCGGCGGAGGGGGTCTACGCTCTGCTGGGCCGACAGGACGAGCTGGAGGGTCTCCTGAAGGTTTTGGACCATCGGGTGGATCGGTTCGCCCAACGCAGCCGGGAGCTCGTCCGCCGGCGGCACCACGCCGCCACGCGGTGAGAGAGGCGGCGCGGAGGAGGAGGCGCTGGCGACCCGTCTGGTCCGACAGGAAGTGAGGTCATCGTTGTGTGTGCTTGTTTTGTTGTGCTGAAGCATCGAGGAGCGGAGCGACAGCGTCCAGAGGAGGAGCAGGAAGCTGCAGGAGAGCAGCAGGAAGAGGAGGAGTCTGCTGCTGGACTCCAAGAGATATCAGGTTTGTGTTCTGGGGATCGAAGCGCCGGGTCGGAGGCTCGAGGACTTTACCCGCAGCGTTTACTCAAATACTCCAGTTTGAAAGAGGAGAAAAAGTTCTCAGGAGGCCAGTAATAATCTCATCTTCATTACTTCGTTCCTCATTCATTTCAAACACGATGTAAGACGACAGACTGAGCATCGGTCTCCACTTCCTGCAGGAGTTCCAGAGGGACGCCGACGAGCTGCTGCTCTGGATAGAGGAGAAGTTCAAGGTGGCGGAGGACGAGTCCTACCGGGATCCCACCAACGTCCTCCCCAAGCTGAAGAGGCACGAGGCCGCTGAGAAGGAGATGCAGGCCAACCAGGTGTGGCTGGAGGGCCTGGTTCAGGTGAGCCGCTTCAGCCGCCGAGAACCTCCTGCTGTGCCCTCAGAACCTCTTTTAACCACGTGCCGGGTGTCCAGCGGGGGGGGGAGATGCTGGCCCAAGAGCACTACGGCAGCCAGAGCATCGGCAGGAAGTCCACTCTGGTCAGCAGCCGCTGGAGGAAACTTCAGGACAAGATGGCTGACCGAGGAGACAAACTGAGGCAGGCGGGGCAGCAGGAGCAGCTGATGGAGCTGCTGCAGGTACGAACAACACCTGGGTGAGGACTAACTCCTGGAGGCCAACGGAGTACTCAGCCGCTGTTCCTCCCTCAGGATGCCAAGCTGAAGATCGAGGCCATCCAGTGGATGCTCAGCAACGCCGCCAAGGGGCACGACCTCCGCTCCAGCCGGCAGCTCCTGAAGGTCAGCGGGGGTCGAGTCTACCTGACTAACATGTGGAAAATATTTCAGCCAGTTAAATAAACATGTACTGACTGATCAAACCAACACACACATATATAATATCACGCATCAATAACTTCTGTAAAGGAGCATCAGCAGCTGGAGCAGGAGGCCAAGGACCTGGCGGAGAAGATCAACTCCATCGTGAGCCGGGCCAAGCTGCTCGCCTCCACCCACTTTGACTCCCAGAGGATCCTCCGGGAGACGGAGGCCTACCTCACTCTGTGAGCGCCCCCCCTTATATATACATGTGCATTCTGTCATATTACACGTGTAGAGGTCTGGGTTCCAAACAACACGCTTTGATCCTTTTTGGGGTTGGAGGTTAGCTTTCTAGTAATTTTCAGTGACGTCATATAAACGAATATATGAAGCAGTTCTGATGAATAATGTATAACATTAATTGCACTTTTCCCCCCTAATGGCACAAGTACAACTTGTTACTTACATCACAGGTCACTTAGCTGACGCTTGGATCCAAAGCCACATTTTACCCCCCACACACGGGGGGAGCAGTTAGGGGTTTGGTGTCTTGCTCAGGGACACTTCCACATGGGACACGAAGCAGCCGGGGCTCAAACCACCAACCTCGCGGTTCCCGGCGCTCCCTCCCTACTCGCCACGTCGACCCTGATTGTCAGACAGAAGAAGTTACGAGTTTCCAGATGAATCTTCTCTTCTCTTAACCGTCAACGAGAAATCGTATGAGATTAATCCTCTGAAATTCCACCAGCAGAATTGTTAACTCATAATTATCAATTTTTAAATGTTAAAAACATAAAAAAGAGACCAACAGTCATGTGACTGAGTGTTTGACTTCTCTCTGCTCTCAGTCGTCATGGTCCTGTTGCCATGGACCAGCACGCGAAAACCAAGACCTCCGAGAGGAAAATGAGCCTCGAAGCCAAAAAAAAATCCTGAAACCCTTTTTTTTGGTCTCCGGGTTAAAACGTGATTCTGGTCCTTTTTCCTTCATTTTACGCATTAATTAGATAAATGAAAGAGGATCCGTTTGCCGCAGGTTCAAGTCCCTCCAGAAGCCTCTGGACCGGCGCCGGGCTCAGCTGGAGGCCTCGGTGCTGCTGTTTGGCTTCCATCACGACGTGGACCTGGAGCTCAGCTGGATCTCCGAACACGTCCCCGCCTCGGGATCCACGGGATACGACAAGTCTCTGGCCGGAGCCACCAGCCTCCTGCAGAAACACAAGGTCATTGGTTATTGATCACATGACCTCACAACCGCTACGGGGGTGAAGTATCTCCGTCATGTGCTATAAACCTTCTTGCATTGGACGTGTTCTCACAGGAGCTGCAGGCAGAGGTGAACGGCCACCGAAAACACCTGAACCTCGTCATGGAAAAGGGGCGGGGCTTGGCCAAGTCCAGCCAATCGGACGAAGAAGAAGTGCTCCAGAGGTGCTGTTGTGTCGTTTGGGACACTTTTACCGTTGCGATGTTCCGTCCTTCTCGATAAATGATGTATTTTTTTGGTTTGCAGGTGCAAACACCTGAGTGCAGAGTGGGAGGAGCTAGAGGAGGCCTGCCGGAAGAGAGCGGCTCACCTGAGCAAGGCCGTCGCCAGAGAACAGGTGAGGGGGACGGAGAGACGGACTTTTTTATTGGAGAAGGTTTTTGTGCTGAACGTGACCCGTCTCCAGCTGCTGCTGGACTGCTGTGAGCTGGAGTCCAGGCTGACGGAGACCCTCGCGCTGGTGACCACCGCCGACTACGGCAAAGACCAGCTGGCCACGCGAAGCCTCCTCACCAAGCACCAGGTAGAGCACGCCCTCTGAGGGGGGTCAACCACAACACTTCGGCTTTGTTTAAACCTGTATTGAATAATACAAGACGGACGGCATGTAGATCAGCTGGTGGACAACCACAATGCACAGAGGAGGACACCGTAGACTTAAAATGTGTTCCGTACAAAACTCGGCTACTATAAAGTGTGAAGTTGTAATGACGGAACTGAAATAGCGGGGACCTCGGATCCTGCCCAGTGGAACTCCTTCTCACAGTGAACCTGAACACTTTATTTTCTTTTTATTTCTCCTGCACAGACTTGAACCCCCAAGATGTAATTTTATCCTAATCCTTGTTTTTCAACATTAAAATTGATCATTGCGGTGTGCAATTCCCCTGTGGGTCATAGGTGCTGGAGGGCCAGTTGGAGGTGCTGGAGGTGGAGGTGGAGGAGCTGGGAGACCAGGTGGAGGAGGCTGTTCACAACTGGAGCCTCTCGGAGCTCAGTGGGCCTCACGGTCGCCTCGGCAGCCTGAACCAGCAGCTTAAGCAGCAGGCGGCACTCAGGTGGACTCCACGATGTTCCATAAGTACTCCATGCCACAAACTGTATTTCACATTTTAGGATCTCTCTGCACTAAAAAGTCCTCTGTAACAAGGACGAGTTCTGCAGTTGTAAACTGCCTCTTCTCTGTGATTTATAAGCTAAAATATTTAATCAAAAAAGCCTCCATTTGAGCTTCACGTCACGATTAATCTAAACTATGGGACTTTTATTTTGAAAGGGTGGTGGCTTAGAGAAGTTCCAATCAATGCCTTGACTAACCCGTGTCTCCTTTCAGGGGTCAGAGGTTAAAGGAGGTGCTTCATCTGCACGAGTTCAGAAGAGAGTCCTCTGAGTTTGAGGACTGGATGGAGCAGCAGAGACAGTGGGCGGAGTCTCAGGACCTGGGCAACGACCACCAGCACGTCCAGGTTACATCTCTATATCCATAGAGATCTATCTAGATATACACATACATCTATATAGATCCACCCTGATACTCCTCTTTATTACGTTTCAGATGCTTCGGGGGAAGTTTGAAGGTTTCTTCCAACAGCTGGAGGTCGGAGAGGAGCGCCAGCAGAGCTGCAGAGATGTTGCTGCTCCGCTGCTCCACAAGAAGCATCCCCAGAGCTCCGAGGTCAGAGAGACGCTGCAGCAGCTCAGGTAAACAAAGGTACAGGTGTTCCCTCAGAGAGAGACTCACATCTCAGAGAGGAGGAGACCTGCTCCTCCAGAAGATGATCGTTCTCAGAGGAGATGTGAAGTTCGTAAGAAGTCAAGGCTCTCTGGAGCTTCTTGTCTGACCTTTGTTTGCAGTGCATGCTGGGAGGACTTGAGGAGCGCGGCCAGCGAGCGGCGGGACCGGCTGCAAAGAGCCGAAGAGTGTCACCGCTTCTACCGAGACCTGAGCGAAGCCCGAAGCCTGATCCAGGTACAGCGTCTCCTCTCCAGATGTCACCTCCTGCTCAGGTGGAGCCCCTCAGACTGTCTCCTCCCTCCTCCCCTGTAGGAACGACAGAAGAGCATCCCCGACGGCGTGGCCAAGGATCTGAGCGGTGTGACGTCACAGCTGAGGAAGCACGAAGCGTTGCTCCACGAGCTGGCAGCCACGGAGCAGCAGGTAGCGGCGCGGCGTTTCTCCATGTTGTTTATTCACTTCCTGTCCACGGAAGACTCCAAAACAAGTGATGTGCGTGCAGTTGCAGGAGCAGCTTGACACCGTGGACTCCATCCTGGATCTCTGCACGCCTCAGCTGAAGCTCCGCCTGCAGGAGGTTCAGCAGGAAGTGGTGGAGCGGTGGGAGGAGCTGCGACTCCACGCCGAGCAGAGGGAGGAGGAGCTTAAAGTGGCGTGTCAGCGATACCTGTTCCTGAACACGGTGAGGACGGACGGACTGGGAGACCCCAGCAAACACTTCCTTTACGCCTCGCGTGTCTTTGTGGGCCCCCCCAGGTGCAGGACTACTTCCTGTGGTGCGGCCAGCTGATCGGGGCGATGGCCGCCGAGGAGAGCATCAGCGACGTGGCCGCCGCCAACCTCCAGCTGGCGCAGCACCAGCAGCTGTGGGCGGAGATGGAGGCCCGAGAGGAGACCTACCAGCAGGCCGTGAGCATGGGGGAGGAGTTACGGGCGCAGGACACCAACAGGAAGGAGGTAAGAGTCCTTGAACGCATCGTGTCAGTTTAAAAAGTGATATTTCATTAAAACATTTTATTCTTTGTGTCTCCTTTAAGAACTTAAATAAAACGTTCACACACCAAATCAAACCAGATGCTCAATGAAACTATCATGTGACCATAAATCCCAGAAACTCTGTTTGTTGTTGCCTTGGTAACACCTAAACATGGCGGCGTTTCCTCCTCCAGGTGCTGGAGAAGCTGGAGGCCCTGAGGGAGGAGCGCCGCACGCTGGAGGAGCAGTGGAAGCAGAAGAAGAGCTGGCTGGAGAGCGTCCACCTGGAGCAGGTCTTCTACCGGGACGCCAACGCCGTGGACAAGACCTCCGGCTCTCAGGAGGTAACACCCACCTGTCGGGTCCCACACCGCCCCCCAGAAGGACCTGTCTGATTGATCGCCTGGTTGCTCCTCCCCCTACAGTTCCTGCTGCAGAACGGCACTCTGGGCGACGCGGTGAGCGAGACGGAGGGTTTGATCAAACGCCACGAGGCCTTCGAGAAGCTGCTCAGCTCGCAGGAGGACAAGGTCTGCTCTTCTGCTGGGCCTCCTCGTTTCCCCAGCACCTATAGTATAATCCACCTGACCTCCCCCTTTGTCTCCCCAGCTGTCCTCTCTGGAGGAGATGGCCGAGCGGCTGAAGGAGCGTCTGAGCGCTGAGAAGAGCGGGCGGGTCCAGACCCGACTCAAGGCCCTCCTCCGGCGACGCCATCGGATCAAGGAGCTGTCTGTCAAACGCAGGGAGGAGCTGGAGCTCTCCAGGGCGCTGAGCGTCTACAGACGGGACGTCGCCGAGGTAACGGACTGATTGGTTGATTTTAAAGAGAGAGAGAGAAGAACTCTGGAGTCAAATACGGTTTGAGAGCAGATTGAAGCCAAAGAACAAGATTATTCCTGCCGCTTCGACGTCTCTGCGATTAAAGTGGTCTCCCCCCACCAGGCCGAGGGGTGGGTCTCAGAGCGGATGCAGAAGATGGCGGAGGAAAGTAAAGCCGACCTCACTGATCTGCGGGCCAAGATGAAGCTTCTGCAGAAACACCAGGTGTTCGAGGCGGAGATCCTGGCTCACGAAGAGATCATTGGTGCCGTGCTGCAGGTGAGACGAGACCTTCTCCTTCAGGAGGAACCTCTGACGCCTGCTGCTTCAGACATCTGGGAGTCCTTCCTCAAACATATGAGACGCCCTCCTCCTTGCAGGCCGGGGAGGAGCTGGTCTCCCTTCGCCACCAGAGGTCCAAGGAGGTGAAGAGGAGCGCGGCCGCCCTGCAGCTCCACTGGGAGGAGCTGAAGAAGGCCTTAGCCAGCCGAGGGAAAGCTCTGGAAGACAACCGGGACTTCCTGGAGTTCCTGCAGAAGGTGGAGGAGGTGGAGGCCTGGATCCGACACAAGGTAGGAAGCTGATGGTGGGCGGGGGGGTTACATAGTGTGTG